CACGCATACACACAGTATCGAGGTATGATGTATACTGCCTTGATGCATACTGTAAATGCAATAAACATTTTAATCATATCTTGTCAAGTCTTGTTACTTCTGGATTTTCTTTTTATTTTCTAAATTATTTTATGAACAAACCTATTAAAGAAAAGTTGATAAATGTGAGGGTATTGATCTGGAAGAAATGGAGCCATGAAGAACCTTTTCATCAGTGGTTCTTTGTAGAACCTCTAAAACCAGAGTAGTACCAGAAGTAGTACCAGAAAAGCAAACAAAAAACAAAAAACAAAAAAAAGTTATTTAAAGGTGACATAACATGAAAATCTGACTTTTCCAGAGTTTAAGTGCTATAATCAGGTCCCTGGTGCATCTACCAACCAAGGAAACGTGAAAAAGATTAGCCCAGTAACTTTGTTTTGGTAAGCCTTTTTCTGCAAGCGTCTGAAAAAACAAGTGTGTCTGATTTCGCTCCCCTAGTGGCAAAGGGATCTCATTATAATATTACCGCCCCTTAATCTGTAAATTTCCACTCACTGCGCCGTCATTTGATTTCGCAAGCGACAACAGTGTACCAGTTCTAATGCCATGGAGAAAGTTTGAGCAAAACATGCTAACTGTTCTGTCTTTTGGCTGTACAGACGAGCACAGAACACTATTTACAGTCCCAGCCTCAGAGGAGACAAGAGAGCAGTGGATTTATTGATTTATTTACTGTATATTGCTGCTGCCACACAGATCTAAAATAAACATGCGATTTATTTCCCAGCTGTTTAAGTTACCTTCACAGACTTAACCGACTGTTTTTGTAACTCCTGTGTGTTTTTAACATAAACTTGTGTGTGAATGAAAACTTAGTTTAGTACTCACATGCTGTGACAGCCGCTTTCTGTACGTGTGCACTCAGAAAACCGAAGTTTAAATTAATATGGTTTAAAACGCATGATTTCAGCACAATAAACATGATAATCAGAACCAAAACAGATGTTTTTTAGCAGGTCTAAGCTTTAATGGCACAGCTCTCTTCTGGAAAAGGGAGCAGGGAGCAGCAGCTCATTTGCATTTAAAGAGACAGGCACGTAAAACAGCATGTTTCTGCTTCCACTCAAAACAGGCATTTTCAAAATTATATAATAAATGACCTGTGGGGTATTTTGAGCTGAAACTTCACAGACACATTCTGGGGACACCAGAGACTTAGATTACATATTGTAAAAAGGGGCATAATATGTCTCCTTTAAGAACTGGTTCTTCAAAAAAAACGTTCTTCTTTGGCATCGCGGTGAAACCCATTTTTTGTTCGTCCTGGCACTTTTTTATTATTATTATTATTATTATTTTTTAAGAGTATAGGTTTTGTTAATGATATTAAGCCTGGTTTGAACATCAAACTGGTCAACATTTTGATTATAATAATGACACTATGGGAGTGATAGAAGCTTCAATACATTGCAGTGTATCCTTACGACTGCTTGACCTCAACAGGATCAATAGTGTTAGCTCCATTTTCAACCTGCTATTACAAACAAAAGACTGTCCTTCATCTCATTTAATTAGGGCCTTGGCATTGTGAGACTCCAGCTACCCACGCACTCTCTAGTGAAGATGAATATGTTTGAGTGTGCAGGGCAGGGGTGAGGGTCACATTGAAATGCACCTGATGACTCCTTCCTGTTTTGTCCCGATCATGCACCAAAAATGGACAGAAGGAATACAATACAAGTAGAGACAAAGCCTCATTTCATCTTGCAACAAAGGCAATTTTTTATCGCACAAAAGATTCTTTATAGTGGAAAAAAGTTTCTTAGATTATTAAAAGGTTCTCTACACTAAGAAAATAATGGTCCTTTTAAGAACTGTTGACTTAAAGGCTCTTTGGGGAAACAAAATGGTTTGTCACCTTTTCCAGTAAGCCAAAATTTTGAACATTTAACAACTTTTGGAGGTAACCTGCAGCTTCTTTGGCCCACAGTTTTCAAAATGAATCTCTGGAGTTATGGACACAGCAGGAACAGTCAGTTTCCTAGAGCCAAATTTCAGGGTGAAATTCAACTTTGGGTCAATGAACAATCTGATCACTCATAATCTCTGGCTTCCACATCTATTATATCAACTGGATAAAATTAGTTATCTTTCATGAAATTTAATTTTTCTTCACAAAATACGAACCATTCAAAACTGAGCTACTCTCACCAACAGTTTCAACCACAGTTTTACTGTTTTCTAGATGTCTTCATTTCGTGTCCATTCAAGGAGCATAATACATTCTTTATTGCATCGATGGTTCCATGAAGAACTTTTAACATCCATAGAATCTTTCCATTCCACAAAAGGTTCTTTAGATTACGAAAATGTTCTTCACACTAAGAAATAAATGGTTCTTCTAAGAAGGTTCTTTCAGGAACCAAAGTTCTTCTATGGCATCACTGTGAACACCCCCACGCCTCGCCTTTGGAACCTTTATTTTTAAGAGTGTATCTGGAGCCACACTCTTAAAATAAAGGTTCTTGCATCTATGGTTACATGAAGAACCTTTAACATCCATGGAACTTTTTCATTGCACAAAAGGTTCTTTACAATGGACCAAAGTTCTTCAGATTATTAAAATGTTCTTCATAATTAGAATGAAAGGTTCTTTGGAGAACCCAAAATGGTTTTTCTATATGGCATTACTAGAAAAGCACCTTTTGGAACCTTTATTTTTAAGAGTGTATCTGCATAGTTTGGGATTTTAAGTTTTTCTGCAGAGTTCATAAAGCACTTCCTTATTAAACCAAAAAACAAAACCCTGCTTAATTTATGAATGACCTTAAGACCTCAAAGAGATGCGTTTGCTCGTTTGATCATCACATGCATACACAAGAACAAGGCTCGAACTAATCAGAATGCCATTTGCTAATTACTTTGTTTAATTCCTCCCAACTCCTAAATCAGTAATTAGCACAAATAATTATATGTTAGAAGTGTTTCACAATGTCATGGTAAAGTTTGTTCTGTTTACTTTTCAGTTCCAGTAATTAAAGTAATATTTGAGTGCCGTTAGATGTACGCCTGTCGAAAGCCTTTCTTGTCAACACCTACAGAGTCTGTAAATAACTACAGCAGTCGAGTATACTACAACAGACACTGTTTGATATAAAATGTCTTTATAATTCTGGTAAAGTGTTTTCTAAGAGACATGCTGTCTATGTTAAATACTGTATATAAAAATGCCTTTATATTTTTAGAAAGGGAATCACATTAGTATAAGTTCATGATAAGTGTTCTGTAATGAAGCTGTAGTATTCTCTCTACAACTTTTGAGACACTCCAATACCACACCTTTTCCTGCCCTTTTAGACTTGATTTTCTAGAGACAAAAAACGAATTACACGCATCAGTAAAACAAGAAAACAAACAGCAGTTATTGTGCTTTATCTGAAATGTAAAATAAATCAGTACATTTCATCATGGAATTATTAATTACTTCATAATAAACAAAAAATGGGGAAACATGCATTGACAAACAGTCTGGGTTCTCTGTTACATGTGGCTTCTATCAGAGTGCTCATTAAAGACTTTGTTAATTAGCAGCTGGAGACAGTGGCTGAGGTGTGCACCGTGTGATTTTTTTTTTCTTTTTCTGCCCTCAGTAGACTGTGACACCCAGGATATTTTATATAATTCCCAGCACAATTAACAAACATCCACCAACTTTTCTCGCAACCCTTGTCACAATCACACATATACTACCAGATGGAAGTGTTTTGACTCATTTTGCCAATGTAAAATCTCACTATTTTGTGACATCCCCTTACGAAAAAGAAGTTTATTCAAGTGTGCTATTAGTATACTTCTTTTAAACTAAAAAATAGGAAAGTATACTTTTAGTCTACTTTTTATGTACTTCTCAGAAATTGGCTTTATGTACTTCTCAGAAATATACTTAAATGGCATTTATGTATACCTGACGTATACTTAGAAAAAGTCTAAATATATTTGAGCTATAATTGTGCTCCTAGAATCCGTGTTTTCATTGTTATATGGTAGGGGGCGCTAGTACACATCTTCTGTACAGAATTTCCAAAAAACACAAGTGAAGAAGAAACCGAAACAACAGATGCTTCCACATGTATTCTGTAATTACCACATGTAACACGATCATCAGACATAAAACAGTATCAAAACTATGTAAGTATACTTAAAAATATACTTGAACTTTACTTAAGTATACTTACTAAAATAAACTTGAAGTATACTACTTTTTGGTAAGGGTCCCTTTGTAATAGCCTATAATTGTTGCATTTTCTGTTTTAGCTCAGTTCTGTATTTGAACAATAATTGTTTAAAAAATGCTTTCTATCAGGATTATTTTTTTCTTTTCTTTTTTTTCGCTGATAAATTGAAATAGGCTACCATTTGGATTTATTTTAAGTAATTGTAAAAATACACCAATTATTTGTTTTTCTGAACTTCAATCTTTATGCATGTCCTGTCCTATGTTTCCACCGCTAACAATCCTACATACAATCCATTTTATACCAAAGACAATAGAATACCCTTAAAGGGACATTGTTTACACCTATAATCCCAATAAAATGCGATTAAGAACATTTTTTGTTTTTCAATACATTGTAAACTAAAAATTAAACAAAAGCGAAAAAGTCTGCTTTAAATATTTGAAATTAACAAGCTGCAAACAAAACGCCTCTTTGCCTTGAGCATAGATATGTATCTATGGCCTTGAGCACGTGACGTCTGTTTCCATAGATACAGTAGCGTGCCTGCACTCCCTTCACGTGTTTTTCTCTAAAGCATCCGTGTAGAAACGTTTAATTTGAGTTCCGCCATCTCGAGATTTGTACATACATATAAATACATTTAATTGTTGAAGTACAAACATAAGTATAAATGATTTTTTGCCCATTTTGTGTAGTTTAATTATATTTGTAATTACAAAATATGGCTTTTTGTTCAATCACACGTGTTTCTGTCAGGGCGTTAAAGAGCGAGGCAAACACTCACACGGGAAGCAGCATGGACTGGGAAGGACGACGCTCATGACAGCTGCCTAGAAGCTGAGAAAACCTCTTCATATTATGTTAGTAAGCGAAGCGCGACAGTTTCCATATACGATACCATCCTGCAATATATATGTATATTACACTTTTTATCGCTTTGTATGCTGTTACGGTAGTTATATGTGACGTACAGTACATCTTGTCCACTGACTGCTAAAAACAGTTTAAAATAAAAAGCTATTAACTGTTAACTAGTAATTATTTAAAGGGTTAAATATGGGGTGTGTATGTTGTAAATTAATAAGTAGCGAATCGTCCTGTACTTGCCTCTGGTTTTGAACACAATTCATGCTTTCCTGTGCATTTTTTTTTTTTGTATTTTGTATTTTTTTCAGGATTATGGCAGATTCCAGTGGTCCACAGAAAAACTGGTACTCAATACTAGGTGCCTGTCCAACAGATGACATACAAGAACTGAAACAGAAGTATCAGAAGCTCATCCTCATGGTAGGTGTTCAGCAAACTGTTTTAAACATTGATAATAAGAACCAGTGTTAATAATAGAGCAGCAAATCATCATATTAGAATGATTTCTGAAGGATCCTTTGACACTGAAGACTGGCGTAAAGATGCTGAAAATTCAGCTTTTGCCATCACAGGAATAAATTACATTTTAATATATATTAAAATATAAAAAAGTTATGTTAAATTTTAATAATATTTCATAATATTACTGTTTTACTCTATTTTTGGCCAAGTAAAATGCAGCGTTGGTGAGCAGAAGAGACTTCTTTCAAAAACATAAAAAAAATGATGTATATAAATGTAATTTTTTTTCCCTCGTGGGATACTTTCAACCCACTTTTGACCATAATGTAGAGATTTGGTCCCATATATTACAGTCATGCAGACCAACAAACAATTTTCAAAACATCTGAAATCACAAAATTAGTTTCAGTTGTTAGTATTTTGGTTTTAATGTATTGATGCTCATAGGTTTGAAAATCGTCTAGAAAAATGGTAGGCAGTTTGGAGTCAAAAAGACTGAACCACTGCCATAAATGCAATTTAATATGTTATTTCGTCTACTGTGTTCATAGTGATAAAATTCATAACCGAGATAAAGATTATGCAGTTTATGCTTGATTCTCCCATCAAAGTTTCCTCCAAGGGCAAATTGTTCTTGCTAAATACGAGCTTTGAAAACATATGCACAATTAATCAGTGGCATCAGTATTTCTCATTAATACACATTGCAGGTTGACTTATCCCAGTCAAGTTATACTAAAGCTGATTTGTTTAATCCCAAACCCATTTTAATTACAGCAATCGCATAACACCAGTCGATCAATCAGGATGTGTGCCATGCAATTTGTAGAAGCAGTTTGAAGAGGCCAGAACAACACCTTATACAATATACACCAGGAAATTCATTGGTAATGAAATTGATAATGGTTTGAATTTTTTTAGCCAATCACAGTGAAATGAATCAGTGTATCATGACAGAAATGATATCACATATCTGTTTCTTCATATTATAGCCAGACAGTTGAACAGGAGTCAGTTTACTGATTCAGAATCAACCTCACAATTTGCATTACCAGTGTAACCTCAGGCTTAAACCAATCCATACTGTTGTGATACTGTTTGCTGTAGGTCAGTGTCCTGCGTTCATTCATTCTGAGATCAGCCTGACAGTAGGTGGCAGTAGTGTGATGGAAGTAGCCTTTGTGCCCCCTGTCTCCTCTCCTCCTTCTCCATTGAAGCAGAGAGCGGCTGCAGGCAGCATACCAGAGCCCAGCGGAAGATGTGGCAGTGCTCCATTCGCAGCCGCTGAGAGATGATGATGTATTGTTAGAGCTGGCGAGTGCTCCAAATTGCCCAGCCCTTTATATTGTGTTCCTGCTCTCCAAGCTCCATTAGCCCCAGTAAATGAATATTTTACAATGCGTGCAAAGAGACAGCAATTAAAGCGTGTAACTCCAGAGGGGCAGGAGGACGGGTCGCTCTGACAGAGCACCAGCCTCTCGTTGTGCTATGTATGACAAGTACCTGAACCACACAGCCTGGAAGTTGTAGAGTGACACATAGGAAATGTGTGATTACCAGCTTAGTGTTTGTAACGTCAGAATGAGTCATAAGAAGATTTTGGATAACGGTATACTAAGCATTACCATTAAAATCTAGCTGTTTTAAGAAAGTTTCCCCTCATATGCACTGAAACAATTAGGTGTAGAAATAACAAATATGTAATCAAATTGATTAAATAATGTTATTATGAAAAGAAACATTAATAAACCATGCCTAATACAACCAGGGACATAAAAAAAAAAGAAAAGAAAAAAAGGTCATTTTGCTATTTTTTTTATTTTTTATTTTGTCTTTGAGCAATTTAAAAATATATATACATTTTTCTTTACAAAACAATGTGGTATTTTTACATTCAGGCCAGCATTTCTTCATCTATCCATCAGACACTAAATCAAACGCTCAGTTACGACAGACCTGAAACCTAGTTCACAGGGATTGTCTATTTGACAAAAGACTACCCAGGGAGATGTTTGTGGAGCAGCGGTATGTGTTTGCCAGGGCTAAGCTGCACTTCACACCTGTGGTCCTGACTCCTCAAGCTTACCTACAAAGAATAGAGGGAAGCAAAACCCTATCTCCAATTCCACCACTGGGGAGAGAGTCTAATTCTCTGGCAGAATCTGGCATCCTGCTGGAGGTAACTGAGAAATTGTGCTGCCAAGCTTGCTCGACCATTCTCAGGGTTCAGGAACAGAGCTGTTTTTCTGTTTCTGATCTGGCTGAGAATAGATGTGGACATATTACTTCAGCAAAGGTGGTGTTTCAGATTTACCACAGAATTAAGAACAGCATTTCCGATATTTAAACATAAGGGTTTGATTCCATTTGAAATTATTGCACATGCTGATTTAAAGTTTCACTTTCAGCTCAGGTTTTCACTTTAGCTATTTAGCTTTGGTCATTCTCTGATCCTCTGATCTGAAGCGTCCTAAACACAAATCGATTTAATCCTCTTAGCTGGTATCCTGTGCAGTTCCTAATCTTAATGTCTTTTTTACTCTGGTACTTTTAATTAAACTGAGATTTGAGTGAAAAAGGATGCTTTTCTTGCATTTTACCAATTTGAAATCCTCCTCAGAATGTACCGGTAATAGTGGCATGTGAAAGCGCTAGTGCTGGAGTGAACGCACTCCCAAAAGCCTTCCATCATTTGGATGGCTGCAATGAATGATTCACGCCAATATATTTAAGGATCTTTCAGTTAAAGTGCATCAGCCCTCTTTTTCATATTCGAGGCGGCGGAGCGCTTTGTCCTCTTTCACCCACACTGTAATAATGCCAAGAAATGGTTAATGATTCTCGCAATCAGGAAGTTAATTTTTGGCTTGTTGCTGTATTTGCTTTTCTGTCCCTCTTCTCATCGCATTCTGACCGCCCATTAACAAAAACACAAACAGAGTAGGGGGGGATGAACGGGAAACAACGGAGAACGGGCACCCTTAAATTTTAATTAGTTTTAAACGTAATTGCTTGAAATGATTAGTTGAATTCAGTGTTCCTGTTTCTTAAAATTAAAAATATAATCGCTGTGGACAGTAATTGGCTTGCCCCGGATTGTCGGTTATTGTATCCCAGTGTCACCCCGTGCATCATTACCCGACTTTGGCGGCGGTGCAGCTTCTGAACTATAGCGACCAAACAAAATCACAAACACACACATGCAATACTCTGCTCGCCTGTGCCAGAGCATTATCAGAATTTGGTTGAATGCCTCCTCGAAAGGATCTAAGTTGTTTTCCGTTTGCCGCTTTCAACCTTGCTTTTCTCCAGTGGGCGAATGAAGAGCCCCTCGGCTCGGCTGACCTTCGACCCCCACTAATTGATAGCCACAGCCTGCGCTCTGTAGATTCCTCAAGGAGAAGAATAACTCTATACTGTAAGAATCCATCCAGGCTGGAAGGGACTGTCAAAATAACCCCTAAAGCTCTCTTAAAAGGGGGGCTGCATTAGACTTCTGGGTAAAAAAAAAAATGTTTCTTTTAGTGAAGCTGTGATGTTACGGTATGAACTGTCATATTTTAGGATGAGAAGTGGAGATCGCATTAGTGTTTTTGGCTGGAGGACAGAGGTGACCTTTGCCCTTCTAACCATCCACTCTGTCCAGTCTTGTCATTGAGAAGACACATCTGTCCTAACTGATATATATTTTGCCTTTTTTTGCACCATCGTTTGTGTTAGTATCCGTGGTCTGCCTTCTCTGGTAAATTGTCCAAAAGCATGGCTAGTCCATTAGCAAATTGTCCATGAACTTCTGTGAACTGTCGTTTTATTTACATTCTTTTAGTCTGCCTTTTGTATCTCCAATCATATTGTCAGTTTCAGTTGTGATTTAATTAAACATAATTGTCCAAATATAATACTTTCAATAAAGCATGACTGTCATCAATCTCATCACTCAATTTTGATTCAGTTTCACCCGGACAAGCAGAGGCCGGACGTATCGGAAGGTGAAGCAGAGCAGCACATGCAGCGATTCATTGATGTCGACCAGGCTTGGAAGATCTTGAGTAATGAGGAGAGCCGGAAGGAGTACAACCTCCAGCTACGGGGTACGTTCCCACCTGTCTATCCTCTCATGGGCTCTCAAGTATTGAAACTAGGGATGCACCGATACCACTTTTTCCAGTACTCGCCCGATACCGATACTTTTATTTTTGGTACTTGCCGATACCGAGTACCGATACCAATATTTTTATTGCATTTGTAAATGTTTTAAATATTGGGTACAGAAACCAAAAGAGTATGTATAATGTTAGTTGGTTAACTTCATTTATCAAATAGATAGTCAAACCAAAATTTATTCAGACACCTTCAACATTTCTCACATTATCACAGTTTATTCGCTATAGTTTAGAAAATGGTAATAAAATATGACAAGAACTCAGAGTTAAACTGTGTCTGAACAAATTCAGCTTGATAATGTTAGATAACTTTGATAGAAATGTATTTAATAGATTACAATCAACCAAAAATTACTCTCCCTACTGTTAAGTAACTTGTGCATTGTTTTACTTACTTGTTTTTGACATATCTGACCGAACTACAAACTTTCCAGTGATGTCTGTGAGAAAGGTATATTCACTCGACAAGCTCACGCATCAGCGCCGCCGCGCGCTCAATCCACTCTGGCGCTTATCACATGCTGTGTGGTATCGGCGTTTGGTATCGGGGCATTTTAACGAGTACAGGAGCTCAGTATCGGTGCATCCCTAATTGAAACCATACTAGACTGACGGGATTTGGAGGAATTAGTGGTTTAGATGGGCTATGTTTTATTGAATTTCATAAATGCTCGGTAAATGCTTTTGCTAAGTGACAACACTTATGATTATTCGCCTGTCGCTTAAAAAAAAAAAGGGCAACAAAATCCAGACTGCAAGTGAAAGGAGGGTTCTGAGCCATATTTAGGGACCAAAATATCAGAGACACGAGGTGGGCTTTGGTTGATAATTAATAGCCTAGTACCCACCCAGAATCCACTAGCAATTTTGGTTTTATCCACTGTTGAAACTAGACTGTTTTTAGAAGGATTATATTTAGGTGTAATGGGCTTTATTGTATCGAATTTTGTAAATGCTCAGCAAAACATTATTGGACAATTTGGACAAATCTAGTTTATGCTAAATAAAAATGTAAAAATGTATCATTAATTTCTGTTCGTCATTGTTGATAAAAATGTATTAAAATCATAAATGTCTCTAGCCCTTCGGGGTAGACGACTAAAATCGTCTGAACTATTTAAAATACCAAAGGAAGTAATGAAAACCGAGCTGTTGTCTTTGGTCTGGACAGATGCTTCCTTACAGAAGAGCATAGTGAGAATTGTGGGTAGTAGAGGAGGAGGGAAATAAAGAGAGAGAGCGAGAGAGAATGTAGGTCAGGTCTGTCACACATGGCCAATTCTTACATGAAGTGATAGTCTGTTTCTCTCCTCTCTCGCCTAAGGAAAAGCTCCCCCTAGCCTTCCATTAGGACCTTCAATAAGTGTACATCCAGGGTCCTGTGTGCCATTAACTGGGGAGCTGTGGCATCGCCTTTTGTGGGGGGAGGGGGGGCATTCTCTGATGCCATTGCTTTGTCATTTGTTCATTTCTTTACTATCTCCTATATAGTGTATGGAAAAGAGAGCAATTTTAGTAATAGTTCAGCTTGTTTTACTCTGTGGTATCTTTTAATAAGATATAATAAATAAAATAATTTAAAATCAAATCAATATTTTATTTTATTTTTTATATTTTATTTAGTAAATTCAAAAAGTAGGGGATGCATGATAAATAACCATACCATTTTGGTTATTTTCTGATATTACTGTTTTTTTTTGTTTTTTTCCGTTTTGTTTTTGATTGTTATCGGTCCATATTGGATTTATTGACTGATATTGGATATTTAATTTAATGCTCTTTTCCTCTATTTTTACATTTAAATTGCCGTTGCCATCTTCTAATGCTCATTTAAAAAAATGTAAACTAAAAATTTTAGAACACTGTTTAATGTATTCATTAGAAAAGATCAAAATGAATATTACAGTGTACAGTAATGTTGTGATGCCTAAAATTACTATTGTATTTTATTTTTCTACTGATTTTATTTTTATTTTTTATGGTATAGAATTTTAACAGTGACTGTTAATTGGTCATCACTTATAACGTGATAATAATTATCAATACATATAAATATTGGGGCATCCTTAGAAGAAAAGAGTCTGCACAGATCATTTAACATAAACTCTACTGTTGATATTTTAGTTTAAGGGGATATTAAAAATAATCTCGGCTCTCTACTCAAGTCTATATGGTCTGCTTTAATTAAGTTTGGAATTGATTCTGGCCAGCTCAAAGGATATACTAATCCCCATCTAACTTAAGTAGCCTGCCCTGCAGTCATTCACTAGACATCGAAATGTGTGTCAATATTGACCAGACATGGTTTGATGTCAAACACTATGGCTTCTATTTAAAAGGCCACATCTGATTGGGTTAATCTTTCGCAGTTACAAAATATATATAGTATTTATAAATATTCATGCACCCTTCTTATCAGGAATGTATTCAGTCATGAATATTCATCAGCAGAGTCTAATTCATGCGTTTACTTGTGTTTACTGTCAGAGGAGAAGTCTTTATGCCTCTAATCAGTTTATGCATCTCTGATTTAATGACTGAGCGGAAATGCATCAAGGGATAGCCATGCATTCGTTACTGGAGGATATACTGGGGTACTCTGTATAGTGTGAGGTAATTAATCGAGTTGTTTGGTTGCGTAACTGAAATCTTCCCTTCAGTTCCTACTTACCATTTTATCTGCTTGCCATTTGATTTTTGCTTCATTTTATATCCGAATGAGATTCATATTTTTGAGGTGAATAGAGACACATCAGACTACTTGACAGACTTTCAATGACAGAGCTCATTTCTTTGTCTCATCAAGTTCTTTTTTGTACCCGTAGGGAATGAATGATAGAAATGAGTCGCAAGAACTGAAATGTCCTACCTAGGACATTCCTTAAAACTAATTAATAGAAAGCATGATAAAACGCTGCACTCGCACCTGTTAATTGCCAATATCTCAGACAGGCTGCCAGAAAGGGACAAGAACCATTACGTGGAAGTGTTGCGTCTCAAATTCCTCGATTCGTTATGAAGCAACGTGATCTAATTTCATTCTCGCCATTTTGACAATTACTTGTCATATTGCACTTTTTCACAGACAGTTTTAGTTTCAAATTCACTTATTAGCAGCCTTTAAAGCAGAGCCTTTTGAGATGCCCAGCATTTCCTGCTTGAATATTCAATGAATATTTTAAGACAACTCATTTGTGTGTATTCATAGCAGCAGCAGTAGGAGACATGAAGGCTTTGCTAGGTCATGCTAAATGACCTCAGATGACTTCGCAGCTTCCCTTTTCCTAAATCTCTTATAAGTGGAACAGGACCCACCAATCCTCCATGATTATTGCTTAAATATTTCAACTAGCAAGGATTGCTCTGGAAACTTTTTACAGATGCTTTGAATCTTCCAGACACTTTCTTTCTTGTAAGAGCTCAAAGGTTCAGGATATGGCCTGTTTTTTTTTTTTTTGACAAAAATTCATAATTCATTAAATTCAAAATTCATTATATCTGTAAGGGTCCGAGATCATATAATTTACACATCTCACAACTTTTTATGGAGTTTTTGTCTACTGAATTTTGTTTTTTTTCTCAGAAAGCCATTTCATCAGCTGAACAATCGTAATTTTGTTAAACCACAGTACAGTCCATTGAACACACTGTACAATTTTGAGAAAAAAAAAATTCACAGCCCCATTTTCATTCCTGTCAAAAATTAAATATGGTGCTATTCTAAGGTCAATGTATTTATGTATGTTAGTGGTGTATTAGCTATAATGTATTGCATTCCTCTATGCAATGCTGAAATGCAGTGCTAAAATTAAGTGGTCCTTGGGGAAATACTGGTTTGTTTATAATAGAAAGATGGAATATTGCTTAAAATTATTGCTTCATCCTGGACTCGATTGTCAGTTTGACTTCATATTGCATTTCTTTCTGCAGCACTTGAACTGAAACAGAGCTGGCCAGTGGACGCTCATATAACCCTCAACGAAATGAACTGGGATTGTGGTTAGTGCTCTGTCCTCAAGCAGTTTACTGGTTAATTTTCAGTCTGTGTTAAAATGATAAGGCATTCTCTTCTGTTTCAGACACTAAGTGTTATACGTACAGCTGCCGCTGTGGAGGAGAATTCATCTTAGAGAAGGATGACCTACAAGAACTGGAAACGATTGTGTGCTGCGATTCCTGTTCACTCAGCATTGAAGTTAAGAAGGTTACATGACACTTTGGATACGTTCAGCAAGTTTTTATTGGACTATTATTTAGCTCTTTTAAAATGGGACATTTTCTATGGACACATGGTAGATTTTAACAGGAAGTCAACCTCATTCATAACTGATTATTTCTTTATGGTCTTTTAATGGTCTCCACATAGATCCTCAAAGCGACCACACTGTAAAAACCTTCCCATTATCCATTTCTTTTCTTGGGTAAGGACGCAACATTTTCATTCACATGTACCTTACAGCAAGTGCATCACCTAATAACCAGAACTGGTTTCAAGAATTGGGCCACACCAGACTCTCACTGTCTCAGAAAGCCCTTTGGTTGTTTCCTCTGAGCTAGACTTGCTCTTTTACGTACCAGACGCTTACCAAAAGGAAAAAAAAGACATTGTTTGTTCCCTAGCCCCCTCCTTTCTCCCCTGTGTTTGAGAGGACCACGCGGCTCAGTAACCTCTTAGCTCTTGTCAACTTTGTTTGCATGTAAATAAATGCATGTTTTTCCTCCTCCGACAATGAAGTCACAAACTGCCTCCACACATCACTGGTCGAAAAAGGCCCTCCAGTTAATGATGAGCTTTTCTTTGCCTTATTGTTCTCCGGCCCACTCAATTTTGGGGGGGATCTACAAGGTTGCGGCATTGGAATAGGGTCATGGCTTTATTAAACTTCAAGCAGTCATTAGGCTGTTTGCTAAAATCTGTCGTCCCACAGTAGAAACAGCTTGATTGGGGCAAAACCACGCTTTTCATCAATGTCCTGAGGCCTGAACCGAGGCTAGACCTGCCAGTGGACCAGCAATAGACTGAACTGTAATCGACTGTGACATCAATTACAGATAATCTCATCACTTTTGGAGAGTGGGCTTGTCAAAGCTCTAATTAAGTCCTCAGTTCCCACTATATGTGCAGACAGGATCAACAACACATTATAGTGCAATGATAGACATCATCATTCTATTTTTGAGGGGAGCTAACTTTTAACCTAGCGTGCACTTGTGGCTCTGGCCAGGCAGTAAGGCTGCTGTGTTCGTTTGAATGATTGCCTCTTTACGTTTGTATCTGTGTGACTGTAGATGATGAGGAGCGAATTATAATAAGTCATAATAATTTGCATGGTTATGATTTTTTTAATTTAATTTGTTTTTTTCACTTCAGTAAACTTTTTTTTTTTTATGTAGTCAACTGAATTATTTCAGTGTTTCATAGTTTCATAAAAATAGATCAGATTTGTGTGTGTGTGTATGTGTATAGATAGTTTTGTGTTGAGAAATGAGAAAGCTGTTTTTTTTTTATGTTAAAAATAATCTTTGCAATGTATATTCTATTGGCTAATGCAATAATGTTTTCGACCAAATTTGTAAAGATTATTTCAAATATTATTTAAAATTAATTGCCGATACCTGACCAGGACAGTGGGTGCAATATGAGTACATTATTGTGACTTTGTGGGGGAAATTACATCATAACAAACTATTTAAGTGGAACCTTGACTCTCCCTTTTTCGGTGACTGTTCTCACGTTATTGTCCCCATTGACTGTGTGAACCTGGTAACCTGAAACCTTTGTCAAAGAAAGCAAGACTTTCACTGATCCTGGTTCTTGTTCACAGGTAGTTTTGAAAAGAGTTTCCTTTAATGCAGAGCCTTCACTCCAAGGAGCAGGAAGTGAGGAGCTCTTTTTTTTGAATGAACTTTAATCACCTTTTTTGCCCTCTCGGATTCTCATTTAATGCAGACATAATCTCAGTTGAACAGAAGATCTTTTTAACTCCTGTTTCAGTTCAAATCTAATGGCTTCCCTGTTTTGGACAAGAATGCGTATATGCCTATGTCAGATCAAAAGTGTCCAGCCAAATTTTCAGAGTTACCTTTTGGGAAACCTTGAGCCAGATGGCAGAGAACATAAAATTTGAAAATATCTCAGTCTGCTAGCCTTTTAAATATTCAGAATTCAATTTAATTGAAACTGGTTAATAATAGTACATTTGTATTATTGCAGGTCTGCATTTATTCTACTCTTTTACAGGATTTGTACATAATGGTATGTTCCTTTTGATATGATAAGTAAACATGCCCCAAACACATGCTAAAAATGACATACTTCACCTTAAAGGTTGTATCCTTTTGCCTCTACTTTTGGTGGATGAGCTCTGCTGAAGATGTTTGATGTCTCTATGCTTGTGTTGTGGTTGTCTGGTTTGCTTATGACTGGGAGTCTTTCAGAGAGCCAGAGGTTTACTGCCTATCTCTTCATCCTATCCATTCAGTTGGCAATAATGCTAACAGCCCTCATGCAATGCTAGACCTCTGTGGTTGTGGTTGTGGTTGTGTCTGTGTGTGTGTGTGTGAGAGAGAGGAAGAGAAACCGACCAAGTGGGATACAATTCTATTAAGCCAAAATATAACCTCTCAAAATACTTATGAAACATCATAGGTTAAGTGGTGTGTTTGAATCATGACTGTTTTCTTTTAAAGGCTATTTACACATTTGTTGTGAAAGCAGTTGCCAAGGGGAGTCACAATGCCACAGTGTCCCCAATGTGCTCATAGACTGAGCAAGTGACAGCACTGGTGCACCCATGAAGCCACCGGGCCCTCAGGTGCCCCCACCCCACCGTCACAAGCCCGGACATGTCAGGACCTGGTTTTAAAAATAACTCCTGCTTGTTAATCAAGCAAACCTGCCCCCAACCACTACGCCAAAAACACACACCATCCTCCCTTGCCAATAATTATGTCATCCTGCTCGTCACACACCTTCATTTGCCTGTTTTTTAATGTTAGCATGTCATAAAAGTTGGCAGACTGATGCTTTTTGTGTTTAGACAGATAGACTTTGAAAAGGTGCAGCAGTAATGTCTCAAAGGAGGCGGACTTGATGATAAACTTGAAACGCAACAAGGAACTGCTTGGCCATGTGCAGCTTGCTTGGAGATGCAACTTCATTGTTTGCCAATCTCTTAATTGGTTATAGGCCTTATAGCTCCATTGAGGGAAACCCACTAATTTGGAGTGAGAGGCAGTGGGTGGTAATTGCAGACACTGTAGCCATAGAGGTGTCATTTTGAGGTGTCCACCACACCTGAGCTGCCCGTTTTGTTCCCCGCCCTTCTCTTTGAGGAAGTGATAATCAATCTACAACTTCTGGGTCTACAAAAACCCATCATGTGGTATCGATTCCAAGTGAAATGGGAATGCCTGCATATTTTAGGCTGTGCTTGGAATAATGAGCTCTTTATTCCCATCACCCGTTGCTCCTGGTGATGGAATTAGCTTGAAGCAAGCAGAGCGGAAATCACTCTCGGCTTTATGAATGACATCCCAGAGGTGGGAACGGATTAGTCTTCTCCCTCTCTGCCTCGATCTGTGTGTCTGTCTCTCTCTCACTGCCTCTCTTCTCTCTACAGCACCAGGTGGCTTTTTTTCCGGGCACAAAGGTGTTTCGCTTAATCCCATTATGCTAGTGCTAAATCTCACCAACATTAAAATTACACCCACCACCACTAACCTTCATATCTCTTTGCTTCTCCCACCCTCAGTTCGCTTTCCGTCCACTCCCTTTCCGAGAGACTGGAAAGATGGTTTCACCTGGAAGGCGGGAGAGATCTGCAGGGCAGCTGCTGTTTTAGCAGTCGTTGTTACCGTTGCTGACTCACAGCGATTGCCAATCCTGATCCAATTTCGCCATGCTGGTGGCCCCTTATTCCCTTGTCCAATAATGTGTCTGCTGGAAAAAAATCCCACTGCTCCAAATCAAGTCTAATCCTAGATGGAGACCTCATGTCAATTTTGTTCCCCAAAAGGGGGAAAAAAAATACGACAAACCCATACATCTGGTCCCACCCCATATCTCTCTTTCTCTCCTTTTCTTTGGCCTCTAGGGATGGCTTTTAAGTCCCCCATCTTCTCCACAGAATAGAGTAGGGATCATGCAACATGACCTACCAGAACCTTGATATCACAATATTGCCACCCTTGGGCATTGGGACATAGGTGCGGATTAAGACTTTGCATAATAAGATTACACACTGACTGAATGATATCAAGGGACGATCCATATGTGGCAAGCTGGCTCTCTGTCGCCGGCTCATTGGCGGGTGGTACAGCTTGTGGAGAGAGGTGCCTGGGACAACCACTGGGAATCAAATGGGATTCAGATTGTAAATGAGTTGGCCATTTGCAGTCATAGCTATCAGCAACTGGATCTCTCCTAGTTCCACATTTAAATGTGAGAGGTTAGATCAGCTGTCCTTTGCGTGATTACCACAATGACCCGCAATGATGCCCAAGTCTACTGGGACTTTCTACACTGATTTGTATCTTTTGATCGCAGATGTTTGACAAAGAACACTTGCTGGGCAATGTCTTCCCATTCTCAGTGAGCAGTCAAAGCAAGTGAGATGTTCTGATTCTACGACTTGCTTATGTCTGTCAAATGCAAAATTCTTACCCTAGATTCCTTATCGAAGAAAAGTCCAAATTGGTCAAGAAAGCTGGTATAAGTTTCCTTTTGTCCACAGAATACCTCGGATGCCATAGTTCAACAGTGACGGCTCCTGCTGAGAAACCCCTCTATCCCAGGAGCTGCTTTTCTCTCAAGAATCTCACCATTCATGGCTCCCCATTCCCGCATCTTCAAAGCAGCATTCCTAGAAAATCCCTCACATAAAAAGATACCTCTCCTCATGAGCTGATGAACCAGGGGTGTCGAGCAGTAGTTCCTGTCCCACTCTGTGCTGTGGGAAATGGACATGTCTGTCGGCTGGATGGGATCAATAAGCACAAGGCCACAACATTGACCCGCTGCTCTCCTAAATGGCTCCATGAGTCCTTGTCCGCTGTGCTGGGCAGTCAGGCACTGTGGGGAATTTGGGGAAACTGGAAATACTTCAAGCCGGGGGGTCCTAAATAGAAAAACATACCTGCTGGTATTAAACAATACTTTCCACACAGTGTAGCCAACACAGACCACACTACGAATGAGGCCATGTGCATTGTCATGTTGTGTCAAAATGTTGGACAAAAAGGAAACTATAGAATGAACTTTACTAGTCTTGGATTTATGATGTATTTTGTAATAACAAACTCCAAGAGCAGTTCAAGGCAGTTTAAATAAGATAAATCTACACAGCGTCGAGTGTCCAGAGTTACTTTCATAATGGTCATTGGTAGGAATACATGATATATTGGGTATATTGGTTATCAGCTGATATATATATTTTTGTATCAGTTGATATTGAATATATTTGTGCATTCTCATTTTCGGTTTTTACATTTACCCTTTGCCATAACCTTCAAGTATAGTTATTCTTTGAAAATACTCATTTAATAATTTGGTAATGCAAATCTCAAAATGAACATCCATTTTTCATACTGTT